TGTCGATACAGGACACACGGCTGACTTCACTCAGGTGTGACGACTGCCCGAGGCCACTACGTTATATGGTGAGCGAACCCAAACGCTGCCACGTTATAGACATTAATTCGTTATGTGAAATTCGTTATATATTTTGATTTTACCATATAAATAAAAGGGCTATTGACGGGAAATGAAAAACACTACGTTATATCCATTAATTCGTTGTAAGCGTTTTCGTTATAAGCGTGTTTTACTGTATATGCTATTACTGTTGTTTGTTTATTGCTAGCTCAGTTTGTAATCAACTATCTATCCAAATTTCTACCATTCCTGTCTAAAAGTATACGGATAAGTCAGGAAAACTGCCATAGACTTAACTTGCCTAGAAGAAATATTAAATGTAATTGATGATATCTAATTTAGGCTTAATATCAATTAGGACATTTCCAAGGACTATTTGAAAACACATTTTAACAAAGTATCCCGTTATTGGCTGTCTTGTTTTTATTCTAGAGATTGAAATGAAACATGCTTCTGCCTGCATTTATAGCCAAAGAATTGTACCAGCTGACCAGTAGGAAGATCGTTGGGTCAACTGAATTTAGGATCTGATATTATCTCTTCCTTCTAAACATGTTTCCCAATATCTCCCTTGATACTTCAGTTGAACTATAACCCTTTAGGTTCTCTCTTTTAGCCGAAACATACCAGATTTTATGAAAATTATAGTTACTACTTCCTACTAGAAGCCAAATAAAAGTGTAACGGTTGGTTCTCTCGTTATCTGTACAGTATTAACAGGTGCAGAGGCTATCGGCTGTGTACTGCAGTGTTGAAGCATTATAAAGTCCGTTTAAGTTCCTTATTAGCACAAGGAGGCCTACATGAATAAACCTCTAACTACTCGCACTTGGCTCATTCAAATAAGGAAGCCGTTTTTGAGAATAGCGTATTAGTTGATAAGATGTTAAACAATATAAAAACATGAATCTTAAATAATGTTTTTTATGGACAGATAAGAAATGCTATTACTAAAAGAAAAAAAATAAAAACGTTTTGAACTCGATTTCTTCTAGGTTGTCTTTATCTGCTTTATTACTTGGTTTAATACTTCGGTTTCTGGGGAACTTTCTCATTGCTGTGATGTTTTTGTCTCTGTTCCGTTATTCCTTTCGTTGGAAGCTTGCCAATATTCTAATATATATCAGGGGAGAAAAATAGGTGTTGACTTGTTACATGGTATAAACGACGTAAACGTTTAAAATGTGTGTGCAGATTCTTCTTAAAAGAAATTTAGGTTGCCATTGTTAAAAGACCACTATACACTGGTAAGTGTGTAATGGTCTAGCTGTTGAATCAAACGTCTGTCACTATCATTGTTAGAACTAGGATATCTGGGTTTCAAAAGATGCCGATTGATGAAAATAATGGAGAGGTTTAATGGTCGCCACATTGATCTCATTGAGAAATAGTCTATTATGTAATACTAGTCTCCGTGTAAACATTTCTTTCGTATGTTGGCCTAGTTTTATTGAATTGGAGTTTGGATCATGATTATATTATGACATATTGGTCCTTCTTGATTTTTGTGACCTTTAACCTTTGACCTTAGCCGATGGTCTCCAAAATCAAATCAAGGGAAAGATCTTGATGCGATGATGTATCATGTGACTATAAACTAAAACTTTCTTGTGGTTTATAACATGTTTGTACAAAAGCGGACGGCATCAAAACCAACTCGTTTGAACTGTTTCGTCGATGAAGCAGAAGACGCTTACTCTGTCGGAGCACGTGGTCTTATTATCCTTGCGCTTTTTCGGGATTCTCCATGTAAATCTGTCTTTCAGATCTAATTTGAGTTTAGATTATAATCATTTTTACATTTTTCATGTGTATTTTCTCGTTTTTCTCCTTTAATTTCTCTAGTCAAGCGAATGTGGAAATGAGGCTGTGCAATGTGGATTAATAAGCTGTTTTAAGGCCTTTACGGATACCGACAGAGTTAGCATAGTTCAAAACGCATTAAAAACTTTGTAACCCAATTTTGGCCAACCAGAGACGTTTTAATCAGCTACCGAAACTTCTTATCAATTTGAAATTTAGTATCTGACTTCTCAGAGTCAAGCATTATTCCAAAAAGTCTCATTTTCTGTGCAGGAGGAAAGATTGTAAAAAGAAAACCAATATATTGATTCACTTAAGAAAACTATATAGTTTCACGTTATCGTCATTGTAAAACAGAAATTGTCGAAAACGAAAACAACCTGAGATCATCCCAGCTTAAGAATAACACACCACTCTAGTACAGAACTAAAGACTTACAAATCCTGCGTGACAAAGAAAACATCATCGGTAAGTATGTGTAATAAAAACGTCCGTTCTACTTTAGTCCCAAAATTTCATGGGAATAAAGACTCTATACCAACCTTGGCCTTGAAAGCACCTTTGCCTCGAGCCTCGATCTTGTAAATGACATTTTCTATAGAAGAATATTGAACTATGAGATTGCCCTTAGTTATACCTGTCGTTAATGAATAAGAGCATTTACATGGGAATGACAGGTGGTGATTCAGTGTTAACTGCCCAGAATTGTTCTGAGGAACTAAGCCTAGAGTGTGTAGGGTTTAAAAGGTAATCGCACTAACATCTATAACGTAATAATGATGACTTTAGCGACTACACATCAACTGGTCCGAGTATATAGGATTAGGGTCAAATGATCTGACCACATGGGGACATTGTGCTTGGTTAACCTCCCGAAGAATACACTATTGAATTACAGTATTCATAGACGTCTTTTCAGGTCCTGTCATTTTGTTAACAAAGAGCTCAAAAATTTGGAAGGTGTATTGGGTGATGAAGATATCAACGTGGTATAGAAGGCTATGGTTTACGTAGACCGAAGATCAGGTAAATCAGGAAGTATTAATCTTTGATAACGCCAGAAACTTATCGGTTATTTACCTCTTAAGTGGCAAGCTACTAACGAATTATTGGTAGGTTGCCTGCTTTCTGTACTGTGCAATAAATAGTCGATAAATTAACAGTGTCGTAAAGGAATAGTGTTTAAACCACAGCACCCTCTCGATTAGACTGGAGGTTCCAAAGCTCAACCGGACATATTTCATTCATCAAGTTTTCTTTTTTTTATAATGAAACCCAGGAATAAAAAAAATCACTTTCCAAATTCTTATCAATTAGTTTGACTGAAGTAGTAAGCTACTGTCGAATTATTTATAGGTTACCTGCTAATTGCACTGCGGAGCAAATAGTCGACAAATAAATGGTGTATAATTTTAAACAAAAAACCCCAACAGCCTTTCAACTATGACTGGAGAGCTAAAAGCTCAGCTTGGAAGTTTTTTTATTAAATTACTTTTTTCAAAATCATTTTTGGTTGATTTTAAAGAGTCATATATCTTACGTATGAAACTAGGGAATAACAAATCATTTATCAAAATTGTTTCCTATAACACAGGTTTGTTTGTTTGTTTCATCACGACTACTGTATCATGTGTTACAGGACCCCAGTATCAGATATAAATACTTATAATCGGTATGCTTGTAATAATAATGATAACAATTGTAATAGTAATAGGTTTATTTATACTTGATAGCATGTTGAGCAATTATAGCTCGTCTTATACATGGTCGAGATAAAATGTAGATGACATACACAATATTTACAAATAAAGAGGATGCAATGTACATACAGACATATAAAATACAGGGCCAGAGATAAACAATTTCATGTAAAATTTCTTTACATTTTTAGATGATAAAAGGCAAGGTATAATTCTCACATAATTTTATAAAGAATGCGATGTAAAAGCTCCATGATGTCTAAAATGCATTTAAAAAAAGTTTGTTGGGATAGCAAGTAAATGTCCATAGTCGTAGATGAAGATCTTATATATGTGCTTTGAACATCATGCTTTATACACAGAAATTCCTGATTGTATAGAATAACTAAAAAGCAACCTTTCTTATTCGTTTGAACACACTACAGGTACATGTAGAGAAGTCACAGTTTTAAGTTAATCCGGCTGCTCTCATATGAAGGCACTTTAACTTTACAATATTATTTTCGCACTTCTATCGCAGGCAGTAGAAATCCATGTGAAAGTTAACAAAACAATTATAAAATGTCATACAAGATGACTGGCTCAAAAAGGGTCGCATATGTTTCTATTTGAGAACAGAAATGACATCATGTTTCACAAACACCTGAAAATTTATATCCTCAACAGACACGGCTATCAAATTACATTCCTCGAAGTTTTTCACTACATTTTCAGTGTTGTGTTGAGTAGCAACAGCTGAGCTGCAGTATCAAAGGGAAGGTAATTTACTTACAGAATGAACATAAGTGGTCCCAATATTTGACCTTGTGATCCCGACAAAAAGGGGGAGAGAATCATTTGGAGTGTTCTTACTACGTACAATTTGATAGCTCCTGCCCAAATAACTTTTCAGAAAGGGGTGACTTCCAGCACAATTCAAAAGTCGAAAGTAAAATGGAGTGGTTCACAAGATCGAATGCCTTACGGAAATCCAAAAATGGAACACCTGTTGCCCTTTGTTTTCAGCATTTCAAATCATCCTGATATCACCACCCTTGCTTCTATTTAGATCATCTTGATTGACAGACAAACTCGCTGTTTCGAGAGCTGCAGACTGATATAGGAAAATATTACGGACATCACAATGATATCATCGAGAACTATTCGATTCTATTTATAATTAAAATAATACTGCACCCCCCCCCCCTCCCCCTTTTGTTTTTTGACTCAATATTACCATTCCCAGATTTGTTTTCGTTGCGGAATAAGCAACAAATATTTCCGACCTGTGGCATCTTTGGTGATATGTTTGTGTATGCATTGACATCGGATTTAAATTATTTCAAGGATTTTAGCGAGTATCTTAACCTAAATGGACGTGAAATAACTTGAAATTGTAACATAAATGCTATGTAATGCACTTGCACACATTAATATATTTGTTTTAGCATCGATTCATGTGGTGATTGTGTACACACGTGATCTTCCTTTGGACATCTTATTCGAATATTTAAAATGATGTACAAGATTCGCTGTTGCGAAGATTGCCGCTCCAAAAATTGTACAAATTCCGCCGAAATAAAACCCACCGCTGGCACTGCCACTCATATCCTTTATGACACCTGTCAGAAAAACATATATCAGGATGAAAGGACATGAACAAATAAGTTGGTAATATTAGGGTGTGGTACAGCCGTTTCACAGAATAATTGGACACAGAGAGCACAACACGATCGGGATTAATTGTACATTATCAAATACCAATAAGCATTGCTTCATTGGACAAGTCGCCTACAAATAGGACTTTTTTAAACATACGCTCAGAAGAGGTAAATGAAATGAACATACCTGCAGTATACCAGTGAATGCAAATAGACTGCATTACTGCATTATAAATGTACAGAAACAGAACGCAAATTGAACATACTTTTGACAGTTTGAACAGAATCGACTGAACAACGTGTGGATGGTGATGATAAAACAAATACATGAGAAGCATGCTTTGAAGGAAACGTAAGCAAAGCACAAGGGTTTAGTAATATTATTTGCTCCTGGAAACCCTCTTTCCAAATGACAATCTTAGAGGACATCGAGGTACGCGGGACAGAAAGCAGAAGTCTTTCAACAATGGCAATATATAATGATGTATCAACAAGACGGTAATAGTTTACATGTATTTTAAATGTACTTTAACACAGACAACATAATAACCCAAACTGACTGAATATTTGAAACTCTTCAATGACAATTCAGCCTAAGGGATATAAATCGTGTACGGGAAGCACTACTCGTGTTTTCCCTCCCTTTCCCCTCATCTTTAGTGTATGACCTATTATTCAGTCATCATTTGCCGGAAGAAAGTGTTTATAGATACCGTGGTAGTACTGCTTATTTTGATAGAAATTTGTTATCAGTAATAGATAGGATTAGGTTGAATTAGACGGTAATAAGATAGATTCCTATGGGTCTTAATAAACTTTATTAGAATTTATCTGTGTATATATTGCTCAGCGACATATATTAAGACATAAACTTGATCAAATAAGTTTACATAACTTTATTTTCATATTTGCATGTAATATATGAGAACATGTTCAATTTCATCTTTAATAGAGTGATGTAATACAAAGCCATATTGTACGGCTTCCATAACTGACGTGGAATTGAGGGATGATTGGTTCTAGTTTGGCCTTGGCAGTATGACACGTGTGCATGGATGTAACGCAATAAGCCTTTGACCTACATGAATACATATACATGTACTTAAATGTAGCAATGTACAATGCCAGGTAAAGATTTAATGTATTGAATAATGTTTTAAAAAATACACGAACAAATGCGAAGGTCCCTCAGAGGTGACCAATAATTGCCATACACATACAAGGGACTTCACACGGACACATCAGTCAACCAACAAGCGTTCTAAGTCTGGTTGTGTAGATTGTATTTGATAAATTCTAATGCTTTTGAATCGAGGCGTGATGCATAGCAAAGGAAACAGCATTTCAATGAAAATAAATAAAAAGCAGCAAATTTCAGAGAAGGCCCTTTCACCTTATCATAAATTCAAACTTAACAGTTCGCTGAGTTTCTCATCAGCAAATTATTTTTTACTAGAAATGGTTAATTCTACTACGGAGAACTTTAGATATGGTCACAGTGTTGTTGGTGCCAAGGCCATAGATGTTTTTGTGGTACACTAATAATGCAAGTGTGACGATTAAAATTTGTTGTGACTATTTTGAAATAGATTATTACAATAAACGACGAAATAACGGCACTGTAAACCCACAATTCGTCAAGGGAGATGTCATCGTCGTGGATAGATTCAACTTTCACCAACACCTGCAATGTTTTGTATCAAATCATTGCATAACATCAATGGTATGCTGCTTTCTGAGTACCTCGGTACACCAATACAATCGGTACTTTTTACAGATAGGGTTCGACTGCAGTAAAAGAAAATAGAAAAATATGTTGAAATTTTGTACGTCGTTTTAGAGAAATGTGTACGTGATATTTTCATCTAACTTACCAGAAATGGATGGCCCAGCAGATGATCCAACTCCTTGAAGTAAAAGTAACAGTCCAAAAGCCAAGGCTAAATTATTAACGCCCAGAATGTCAACAATGATTACAGACTTTTGTGAAATGATGCATCCCATCATAAATCCGTATACTGAACAAACTACAGCGAGTATAATGTATTCAGATGAAAAGGGCAAAATCAATGACAAAATTCCTAAAGCCAGCAATACACAGTTGTATATCACGACCCGGTAATGTTTTACTGATCGCATATCAAGGACTGCACCGAAAAATAACCTGCCTAATGTGTCAAACAAAATTGTCAGGGATACTATAAAGGCAGTGGATGACTCTTCAATATTCATTTCCTTCGCATATACCGGGAGGAATGCGAATGCTGATTGGAAAGCTGCAGAAAAAAGACCAACTGCGATGATGAATGATGTATATCGATAGTCTGCTACAATCGTCTTGATATTACACTGAGTATTTCCACTGTTTCTCAAGGAACAAGATACTCTGTAGCAGCATCCGTGGTCCTCTTTGTCTTTTTCATTTTTGTTCCCTTGACTGTTACATCTGGTTTCCAAAACTTGTCCATCTCTTTTTAAAATAGTTTGTCTGGAAAAAATAGTTTGTTTAGTATTTTTATCAACACAAAATATATCATTTGTACTCACATCAGGGAAAACAAAGATCAGCTGGTCACATAATGAATAAAGACATACCAATGTTACTATTATTGCTGAAGTTGAGGCATATTTATTAGAATAAAGACTAATATTTTCACCTAATATAGTTCAACTTATGCTAGGTGTAGACTTTTCCCATGGCAGAATACCTCTAAGTTTTGTTTATGTATAGATCATACAATGTCATAAGAATATAGATATACATATGAATCATCTTAACTAAAACACGAGGAAGACACTCGCACTTTCATGAGACTTTCTTGTTATGATGACAATTTCTACTACTTAAAGAAATGAAACAAAGTTGTTACAGGAAGATAATAACAGGAAGAAACACGTCAGGCGGAATTTGGAATGCGCTTGAAGGAACATCAAACCGAAGTGGATTAGGAACTAGTAAGAGTGCCATAAAGGACAACAAAGAAAATCACGTTATAGACTGGAGGTAGGTGATATCCTGGACTGAGAGAGCAATCTACTGGTGCGCCAAATGAAGGGAGCCATTTAGATACGGAAACAATATTGAACAAAGCCCAGGAAACTTATCCGCTCAGTCAGGTTTACTACACTATGTTAACAACTGTATGATCAAGGAAAAGTAACTCCAACATCATTACTGGTAATCTTTTTTGACATGGTAATGATATACGTAAAAATACAAGAATAGTTTTAAAAATCGTTCAGATCGTAACATACCATAACACAAATAGCTGCTAGATATTAGAATATTAAACGTAAAATGCAGACTTATATGGAGATTCAGTATCGAAACAGCACTTCCGTATCACACAATTTATTGATAATATATAGAAAATTAATCTTGAGATTAATAATAAAGTGAAAAAGCGCAAGTTCAAAAAATTATATACAACTGATTATTTTATAATTAATGTTCGTATTTCAGTGTTTGAGTTTTCAGGATTTGGTCATATAAAATTAAGCAGATCGCCCTTTCGGTAACATTTGTTGAAAGTGAATTGTGAGCTACTTAAATATGAATGGCTTTGCGAACATATTGACAGAGCCTTTGATGAATGTAGAATGGACTCCAAATTTAATGTCACTCTTCCGATATCTAGTAAAACCAGAATTATCACTAATATCTACTGCATGATTGAATGACATACGGATACATATAGTTATACGGATACATACTAGCGGAAAAAAGAAACTGTGCATGGGTTTGATATGCTATAACTTAAGAGGTATTAAAGAATTCACCAAAAAGTTTCCATTGTTATCTGACCTTAATTTAACACCAACTAAATTATTATGGTTATTGCATTATCAGCGTCTTGGATAGAGATCAGTTTTCACAGACGTTCTCGTGCACCGTGTATGCCCATAATTGGAATCGATGCATGCTTGATAACGATGCCTCATTGATGCAACAAGTGTGCTGAAAATGCCTCGGGAATACCATTCCATATTCTCACAGGCGCACGTGATAGGTCAGGTAACATCAACGGCTGATTTTGGAGGCGACGTAAGCGAAGCTGTATCTCATCCAATAAGTGTACTATATGTGATATATCTGATGGCATTTCAGGCAAGGGCAATACAGTCACATTGTTCTAGATCAAGAAGTAGGTGACGGCTCGCGCAACGTTATCCTGTTGCAGCGTGGCGTTACGTTCCTGCACAAATGGAAGGACATGAGACCGGATGATTTCGTCACGGTATCCGATGCCTGTAAGTGTGCCGTCGACAACCACACGAACTGTTCTGCCACGGAATGAAATGCCACTCCACACCATGACACTAGCTCCGCCGAATGGACGTCGTTGAATCACACATCTGTCATGGAAACGTTTATCAATACGACGGTACACTCTAAATGACCGTCGCTGCTGTTGAGATGAGACCAGAACTCATCCGTGAAAAGAACACTTGTCAAGTCCTGCTGCATGAAGCGAGTGTGTCGTCTTCACCAGACTAAACATGCTTCACATTGACGTTGCAGGAGAAACAACGTCGTGGACGTATAACTCGTTCAGGGAATCGATTACGAACCGCTCGGCGACTTACTCTTGAAAGAAGCAGTTCTGAGCAGTTGACGGAGATGAACAACCTGGATATACTTATCATGGCAGTTATACGGTACGCGTGGACGTCCTGACCGAGGTTGGTCTCTGGTGGTCCCACTGTTGGCACCGTCTCCAAAAGAAAGATGTCCACAGTATTTCAGTGCTCACCAAATTGTCTGACAACATCAGTATGACGTACACCAATTTCGATCATGTGTTCGGCGCGGCATCTGTCAATTTGATAAAATCATGCTGGTTTTGTGTGTTAAAGATATTTACACTGCTTTTAACAGAGGTTTAGACGTGGCCAAACAAACTACATGTGCAACTCATGTACTGACTAGTTAAAATGAATGAGTGGCATACACAACTTCGATCCTGTCTTCGGCGCGGCATCTGTCAATTTCGTACAACCTTAGCATAGTGTATCAAAGACATTATTTTAAAAAATCATGCTGGTTTTGTGTGTTACAGATATTTACACTATGCTTTTTACACAGGTTTAGACGTGGACCAGACAAACTACCTGTGAAAATGACGGAGAGGCATACACAACTTCCCTGTGAAAAGTTCAAACGGATGTGAAAGAAATGCAACGCTTTTATTTGCACAACTTTTTTAAATATTGAACCAGAAATGTGTCTGTGCAGATGAAATAGACATTCAAACAAATTACATGCAAATTATGGAACTCTTTTAAAAATCGCTTGTTTTTCCATAAACTTTTCTTTGAAATGAGTGTCGCCAATATTTACATGTTTGTTAGTAAGCCTAACGTTCGATCTATCGACGGAAGAGTTTGGACGCAGGCGAATCAATCGTGATGTAGTTGGTTTTAAAATTCACTGATAGAACACGCCTTACATGATGTACACTGCATCTTTTACGTAAAGTATACTAATGAGGTATACTCATTTATTCCCACATTCTTTTTTCCCTGCCTTCTCTTCTAGCTTTCCTTTCCATCTCTCCCTCTCTTGTACTATCTCTGCTCTCCTCGTCTTCCTACTTTTGCGCCTCTCATCTGTTTTACGCCAATCTCGCATTCTTCAATTCCTTCCCTCATTCCTCCTTCTCCCCCTCCTGTCTTTTCGTCGACACATTCCATGGTTACTGGGTCAACTATTACATATCTAATCCTATTCTTGTGTGTCATATTTTAACTAAGTACTCTGTATATATTCAGCTGAGATACAAAGGCAATGTACAATCCATAACGGAAAATTCATGTATTTAAGGAAACAATTACACCTTTTGTAGTGACTAGGGTTAGTTGAATAGGACCGAATTACATGATGGATTGCTTGCGTGTAAGTGTCGTATTCCTAACTAAATTTATAATTACCGACATATTTTTTCTTAGCTTTATGAAAGGTATTCTTTAAAACGTTTATAGAGCTGAGTCGTAGTTTGGTTGAGCGATGTTGTGCATTCATGCCAAATTGTATGAGACGTTAAATGCGATTTGATCACGGTGAAAATGAAATTCTTATTGAGAAAAATACAGGTTTATAGTGCGTTTTCCTATATGTAAAGTTTAATATTTGTACACAACCAAATAACATATGTTGATTCGGTTGTATTATTTATTTTGTCATTAAAATGAATTGTCACACGATTTATCGAACGCGCATCAAAGGTCCCCGATTCCCTAACTGATGTAAGCTTCATTTTTATTTACTTCATTCTGCGAATGGTCATCAGCATCGCCTATATTGAAGCGTTGAATACGTCTTTGTTTCCGAGTGCATGTTAATATCTGCCCAATGAGACTATTTCTGAGGGTATTTTTGGTTTAGACCGACATCTCTGTTTTTTCGTATGTATGGAGTCTTCAGTTCCCAGGAGCACATCTTCTGATTCAGCTTAGGTTGATGGCGTAAAGTCGTAAGATCTTTCTCATACAGCCGAGCAGTTTATTATAATACGAGTTAATGTCGTAAATGATCATATTTTGTCGAACCGTTTTGGAATCACAGAATTCTCAGAATGGATCCTTTTACATTGGATTATTCATACCAGTTAGATATTCATAGGTAAATTGCTCTCTACGGACATATATTTGAAAGATGCCCCCCCCCCCCCCCCCCCCCCCCACCCCACCCCTCCTAAAAATACACAAAACAAAGTCACATTCTAATCCATCAGATAGAATCCAACACCGAGGAAAGGGAATTTCCCCTAGTCTTCCTTGGTCGATGGAATGCAGTAAAACACATCTTCGCTATCATTGTGATATACTCCTGAGTTCCAATACAGAATATCTAGGACACTGTAAACCAGGGCCCACTTATTCAAAGTCTATTTTGAGTTAAAACTGATGATGTCAGTTAAGAAACTGATACGTAAATTTAAGAAAAAAAAACTTTTAAAATTGCTTCTGAGATGTTCCCCCAGGCTAGCGATATCCTTCGGTCATCGTATCTAATGAATTGGGAGACTAATTTGTCTACAATTATACAGAGACTCTCGAAAAATGGCACGGAAAAGAACGCGTCTTCTGCTTCAGGGACGATAACTGCCATATGACACATAAGTGAATAACAAATTTTGATAATCAAGAGAGTAAAGCCAAACAATGAAGTGTCCGCCATCTGCTACCTTAAGGATTGTACACAAGATACACAAGTGAATAGTGAGTAAGGAATACCACAATCTCAAATGAGAACAGTTATACAACAGCGGAACCAATAGGCAAACTAACGAGCATTATCTAGCGTCATATCCCACAAAGAAATGAAATATTTCTCAATAAAATCAATATGGCGACCATTATACTACCCAAAATTTACATCAACCTGCATTTTTTGAATGTATGTGTTGTGGATTTGATATAAAATACGAAAATACCAACATGGCAACATCATAATAATCCAAACTCAGATTTCATTAATCTGGGGCAAAACATTTTTTGATAAGTTACACGGAGACCCCTGAATAAGTAGAAGGAAAATAGGTTAGATAAGTTAGCCATACTTTTTTGTTTCAAACGTAGCGGTACATGTTTAAGTGCCCTAGATGTGCTGTTACATTTGAAACATGATACCGAAACATATAAAATACAAATCTGTTATTGAAGGTTTTATAAATCATCTACCTTTCAAATTTTGCATTTGACGGAAGTGGTCGGTAGAGAGTCCCGCAAACCAGAAGATTCAACGTTATTCCTGATAAGATTAGGAAAGCACCAAGAAATCCATAAAAATCGAACAAGAACTCGATTATGTTCGGGAAAAGAAATGCCGCAAGACTGGAGGTCGCAATACCCGTCGCTAATCCTCGCTTTGTGCTAAAATACTGATTGACGATAATGATAGCCGGTGAGTAAACGAGGCACATACCAAGACCTGTGAGAGAGAGAAAAACCTGATCAAGCTCACTGTGTTATGATAAAGCTCACTGTGTTATGATAAAGCTCACTGTGTTATGATAAAGAAAATACCGACAGGTTAATGGCGTTATAATTTAGTTTCAATTTAGGGCAAAATATAAACAAAGAAAAATTTACATAGTCTCCTCTAAAAAGTCAGTAGGTATTACAAATTTCCCAAATGTTAACAGGTAAAGAATAATGTAACCAACATAGGTACTGACGAACTTATATAATCACTCAATTTGCATGGTGTATCATTGAGATGCTATTAATTCGCTATAGTTGAGGCTGTGCTGGATATTGCGATAAACTTCACCTGAGTCAAACGTGTTTAAATATTCAGACAGCATTTTCAACAGAAGAAAGTGTTCTACAATCATATTTGCATATTTGCTTAGTGTAGTTCTGGAATAAATCGAAAACAGTTTTCGACAAAAAAAATGCATTGCACACAGGATGATGGTGGGGGAGGCAGTTTTGTTTTTCTGTCCTATAAATTTCATATCTGTGAATATGATTTACTTTAACTCTATTGGGGTATTATCCTTTACAGTTTACGAGATGAAAAGGATAATCAAGGCGAAATGGTCTAGGTTATGTGATATCAGTGAAGTGATATCCAATCTTTGTTATCTTTCTTATCACCTTGATGTTAGGGAGAGTGAGGTTGTTGTCTTCTCAACGTTATCAATATTGTTAAAGAGATATGTTACAAAAAGTCAGTGCTTACCTCCCAACAAGGAATAACTGACGACCGCAAGTGTTAGATCATAAGTGAAGGCAGTCAAACCCATGCTGACTCCTAAAATGATTGCTCCAGTTAATGTAACAGATCGGCACGAGAATCGGTTGATGAGTATACCGCATAAAGGACCTGTTAAAGCGTTCAAAAGTATTCCTACGGTTAATGTAACAATATCATTGTTCCGATTAATGTAATGGATTAGAAAGGTGATAGGTTGATTTGTATATCGGTATTACACTAACCCTAATCTGTAAAATTACAATCATTGCATACTGACATATTCCGTTTATACATCACATGTTTACATTTAGTGGACACGGCTTCACTTTCGTAACATACATTAGAAAACAGCGCATTTACATTCTGTTACTCTAATCACACATTACTCATCCGCTTTCTAATCAAATGTCTTGAAAGTTTCTTTTTGACGCTGAAAAAAATTAAACCAAGCTCACAATCAAGATATGAACACAAGACGAAATATATGAAGACCATTAAATCTTAACGCAGATATTCCAGCAGGCAGTAAAAAGTAAGAAAAACAAAAGACAGTACATACCAAAATAAAAAAGCATTATAGCGTCAACGGTATAATAACAAAATTGCTACAAAATGCATTTCATTAAGCATGCACATCTTCATATTGCTTGTAATAGTTATAATGAAACCAAGCTACAATTTTAAACAATGTTCTATTTTTAAACCACGTAGATATAGTTGAGCCGTACTTACTGAGAGCTTCGGAGAACCAAATTGCCGTCACATACAGAATGATTTACTCTTTAGAGCACACCAATTATGGTGGTTGATGAAAATAGCTGTTTATTTTTTATTCGAAATTGAGGAGTTGTTTACTTCAATGCAATCATCCAAAACTTTCGGTTTTCAGGTATATTAGCAACCTCAAGAGCATTTATACATGTTTACCCAAAATATGTAACCCTAAATTAAAGCGGTTGGACGAACAGCAATTCTTCTACTTGTTTTATCAACCGGAAGCTATATTTTTTTCTCGTCACATGAATCTTTCACAACAGACAATATATTGATACAAAAATAAAACACATTCCCCTATATATATATAATTTCAACAAAATCTGTTAACAAATAAATAAAAATGTTTTTCAAAGTGTTATCTGTGGCATTTCCCAGTACCGCAGCAGTGTAGCAATGTTACCGTATTATCAAAGAACCATTTCCATAGAACGTCCCTCGCATTTTCGTCCCAAATGGGTAATGCGAATGTGCAGAAATCTGCTATAATATTTTACCTAGTATGCTTCGAAAGACTCCTGGAAGAGTGGTAATCCAGGCTGTAACAGCAGCAGATTTATTGAACCTTGCTTCAAATTTTAAGTAGAAAATTCCAGATGACTTCTCAATACCAACTGAAACAAACATTTTCTTTTTTTATCCAAATAAAGTGCTTTAGAACAATACTTCAAATAATTCTACCTGAGAATTCAATGTGACAGAAAAATAACACTTAGACTGTACTTGTTTGAATACCTAATATCAATAATCAATACCAATATCTATATGACACGAAAAGGGTGCAGGACCTGGTAATGGACGATGGGTCGTCATTATAAAATAACAGGTACCAGATGACATCCTACACGGTGAAAATGAATGACAGGTTGAAAAAATAAGCTAGACTTCAACATTGCTCACATATAATGATATGAGCAATCAGACTGCCGAAGACGATTATCCATCCCCAACCACCATTTGGAGGAGATAACTGTTTCCTCTTTGTGGAATTTTCGGTTACAGGTACTTCAACGCTGTCAGTTCTGCTTGCATCTTTGGTTGTCTGTTCCAGTTCTGTTACCGCTGTGTTGCATTCCGAGGATCTTTTGTTTGATGTCATTGTGCTCACATGACCATTCTTAACACTGGTGGTGTCATTTGTCGCCATCGTATCCCACACACTGGAAAGAAATTTATAAAATTGTACAAGAATACTCCGGAACTTTTCAAATGTACGTGTACGTTTTGCCTACAAACAGAGTTCAAAGGAAGCATCATTTGGTTGTATATTATTCATTAAAATAAATATCAAAATCTAGAAAGGGAGACGCACTACCGTCATAATCCATAAATTTGATAATTTCAATGTGCGTGATATTTTCAATGTTCATGATTTTACATGGATCTCCTAGAAAACTTTATGGCCATGTTTACTAATGTATAAAGTAAGTATTTTGGCATGATTAATGTAAGCTGTAGGTTATCATAAGGAACCACATACAGCTTGAATAAATTTCGACCAGAATATCGTTTTTTATACTGAAACGGTAAAGAAATGTATCTTCTTTTATTGTAAAATAGTTCGTATTGTATATGCATACCAATATAAAAAAAACAGGGGGAATAATAGAACACCCAACCTTATCCCGAAATGAATATACTTCCTAATCCCAAAATGAATATTCTTATGAATTAAGATCTACTCTGACAATGAATTTTCTAGTTATATTGTGCATGTAAAGTTTAGTATTATCATTGCATTCTTAACGGCCCGTCAACACATAGACAGAAGGTCAATGCAGTCCAATAAAAATGTTAAACGGTGAATGGCTCATCACATCCTATACACCGAAGATTATCTTTGCCTTTCAACTTATATGAATGTGTAAAGTATGTATGACCCATTCGAAGACGGGCAAGGGCAACTTCGTCTTGGTGGTTGTCTCTATAGCATGGAGACCATTTACCGATAACATGTTTAACGGAGTGCAATTTGTTATTGGTATGTGTATTCCATTTCTCCTGCAACTGAACTTTTACATTTTTTCAATAAATGGTCTAATATTGGTAAAATGGAGTTTAAAAACAACAGGTGGTGCATGTAAAGTAAAACTAAGTTCACGGCTATTATGAAATTAATAATAAATATCATGTGCTAGTGCATTTATGCAGTATGTATCACATCAGTGAACTGTGTAATATATTAAACACATTTAAATAACTAACTTACTAAAACACATTACTTACATTTCTGTATACGTATTCAACACTGCTTCAATTATACCACTAACTATAAGTGGTAGAATGTATGAAATATTCATTATACCACCAATATTCATAGCAGTAACTATAAGGGTTAGAATGTATGAAATATTTTTTATACCAACAATGTTCCAAACATAAACTGCAAGTGCTCCCCTACCTCTTTCTCCTCGATATACCTACCAGTGTGCAAGCACATGCATGTAATTGCTTTAAGTGATTTAATGCCAGAATGTATGTAAAGATGACTGTAAAATGTATCTACATGTATGTAACATTAGTACATGCATTTGAACAATGTATTGTCTATAATTTGTGTCAACTGCTTGATTTCATAGGTATCACACAACTAAGTTTGCCTATATCAGCTGTAGTAGATATATAGTTATATATAATTTCAGTGTTAATTCTTTGTGGTAAAATTCACTAAAATCCTGGCCCGGATAGAGTTACCAACCCTTACGTTCATGATATGTCCTTTTGCCATATAAACGTGTGTTCCTCAGGTAATTCAGAATTACTGAAACTCATTTTAATCACTCTATTTCTGATAATCATGTAATACTTGAAAAATATGGAAATATCGTTAGAAAAGATAGAAATAATTCTAGTGGTGGTGTTGCTATCTATTAAAAATATTCTGAATATCAAGAGAGGAATTGACCTATTGACCATGAATCAGATGATCTAGAATTACTTTGGGTTGATATAACCATATATAACAAGCTTATATTTGTCTGATGTATTTTAAGACCCCCAATTTCATTTGTTAACTTTAGGGCAAAATCTTGAAAATAATATTGGAAGGTATAATTGATTTACAAAGGGAAGTATTTCTGGTTAATGACATTATTCAAGACATGTTGAATCTTAATTCCACCTCTCACTTTCACAAACGTTATATGGATTAACAAATACTATTTCTGAACCTGCCAGGATTAATCTTCAACATCTAGATATTCTTGTTACTAATAATGTTATTTCCGTTAAAGAGTCATCTGTACCATATCCCTCGTGTAGTAATCACTGCCCTTTTAGTGTTAGTTTGTATTTCTATGTTAAGGCACGGTCCCACTGGCCGCTGGACACATAATGTATGCAAAAAGGACTCAGCGGACGAGCAAAATTTCGGTTTGGCTCCATCAGTTTTTTCATCCGCTTTAGAAATGGACAAAAAGTGTGAAAATATTTGAAAGCAGAGCGGAAAAGAACGGATTTGGGTAGTATGTAGCGGGGATGTTAAACGGATATTAATAGGAATCCTGGCGGATTAAAGCAGGTTTACCGGAGATGATTTCGAAGCGGACAATTAGCGGAAAGAGAGATTGCATAGCGGATGAAGCGGATGCATCACGTACGCATATCGGAAACAGAGGAGATGTCGCTCGGATGTATATCACATGCAAACCGTTCACTGCGCATATGTGGGGTATGAATTGCGTCCGCTCCTCGAATATAAAGGGATGAAGTACGCACACAGTCAGCATAAAACGGAAAGACGTGCTGATGGCTACATCTCGTTATTGAAGAAGTTTGTACATTTATAAATATTTCCTTTACACCTTGTATCAACACCATGGTGCGTCAGTCAGGCAAGATGAGGAAGCCAGTGCCTACTCGTTCAAGCCCTAGAATGATGAAGAAGGCCAGAACCAGCACTCAACCTCTACCGCTGATGGTGAAGCTGCTGTTGCTGTTGTGGACCAGCCCCAAGGTCATGAAGCCCGTAAAAACCATGCTGCTGAAGGCCTTGACGCTCAAGCTCCTGATCGCACTGATGTTCAAGCCCCTGTAGGCCCTGTTGAAGCCTCTGAAGGCCTTGAACAAGCTCCAGCGAGAGGGAGGAAGAGGCAAGCCAAGAAAGGAGAAAAGAAACAGTACACCGTTTCTGAGAAGCATGAGGACGATGTGCTGAAAGAGCTGAGGGAGAACGAGTACCTGTGAAGAAAGGCTTCATGAGGTAGGTCTTCAGGGAGAACGATGATGTCGGGCAAATTTTGTGCGTTCCAGTCCATCGTTGAGGTCACTTGCGTTGTATATCTGGGAATCTGAAGCTGACCCATTGCCTAAAGCATCGATGTAGATGAACTTGTAGTCAGCATCAACCATGGACAACAGGATAATACTGAAGAACCCCTTGTAGTTTTAATAAGTTGAGCCTGAGTTGGCTGGAGCTTTGCAAGCCACGTGTTTCCCATCTATGGCTCCGACGTTGTGAGGAAAGTTCCACCTTTGATACCAATCTTCTGCAGGTTGTCTCCAGCCTTGTTCAGTGGTGGGGCACCTGAGGAGCTCGTTCACGTGCGGATATACATCGTACACGGTAGAAAGGTCATCCGTTCTAAAAGTTTTGTGCAGCTTAAAATTAATGTACTGACATTTTAAAATATTATGGAAACAGAGAAGTTGATATAATTCTGAGTCAACATAGAAATGTTGCTAGTAATTTGAATTAAGATTTATATAATTCTTACCTAATTGATAATCCTGCTCGTAGATGGGGTCACCCTACTGAGGATTATACACACTATCTCTTCAAATCCTTTTCTGAACTAAATGATTTTATACCACATAATACCCGAATATTTCGTAAAGGTTCACACACCACGTGGTGTAAATACAAGCAAATCTACTCTCATATCTGATTCAGAGGTTCATCATTCATACTGGTCGCCTTGTCTATTTTTATTTTACTATACACCTTGTCCCGGGTTTGGATCCACTCGCCATCCTTGTTTATCAGGCACAGAATTATGTATGTATGGACAGTAAGTGTCTATCTTCATCCTTAAAAACAGCTAGACCTAACATTGGGACAGCTGTATTATTGGTATTATTCCCTTTCAAATATGTAATATGATAACTGAAACAGTATTTCCTATTTTTCTCTTTGCAGAGTATAAAATAATATTCAAAACCTCATAAATTTGGGCTACTGATAACCTGTATATATTGTCAATTCTACATTTTCTTCGTGACATGTTTTGCAAGAGATTAATGTCGCCATGAACCACGTTATATATCTGTAGTGGCGGTCACGTTTAGTCATAAAAAAACACCATATGAATTAACATGCATGTATTACAATATTAGGCCATATTCTGTTTCTAAATCCCACAGTTAATAACAATTATATAGTTTACATAGTAGTCACTGAGATGGAAATAGTATCTACATTCATCAAACATGTGTCTTGTCAAATGCACAATATATATATAATAATTTCGTAACAAAATCTTCACTTTCGATCGTCAGCATAAGAATAGGCGTTCGGTTAAAAAAAACAAAGCAAAAAAAAGTATTCGCTGTTTTATTAACACAGATAAAGACAAACCCATTATACACATCCCATTTTTTTTCATCTGTTTTGCTAATCGAAATATTTTATTTTGTAAAGATTCTATCTTCAGTTATATGTTGACAATGTAATTGCTCAAAGTGTTTTTGTTATGTACAGAACGAAATCAAATTCATTATGCCCGAGTACGGGCTGACTCGGAGAGGTGCCATTGTATTATTATTATCATTCAAGCTAACTGATGTATCATCTCACATGATGATATGAGTGGAAAACGTGTCAGATAAGGGAATAGTTTAAATGAGGACACAGATAAACCCTTAATGATGATATTTTGCCATGAGGCAGTGGTTGCAAAAAAGTTGTCAGTCACATTACTTAGTAGTATAAATTTCGGGAAAGCCTATTATGAGCTCAACAGTGGGAATAGCAACTGTTGATTTTTTTTTTGGTAGAAATGACACACTAAACACAAAATGAAAAGTCAACAAATTGTTTTACTCACCTCTCTTGTTTGCCTTATCTCTTGGTCAATTATACTGCATTGCGGAGCAAAGATAGACTGTTACATAATTATTAAAACCCGATGTATTTGCAACATCGTTTGA